CAGCAGCTTTGTCGCAGAACACTAATGCACGATCCTTTGTCGTCAGGTTGTGTTTTATTCTCTTCAAGCGTAGCTGCACACTCAACCACTCTAGGAAATGCAACATGGTTGTTGAGTTCCACATGTGGCTTTTGCTGTCTTGGGCATGTATGTGAAGAAGTCCAGACATTTCTTTGTTTAATCTTTGTATCACATCATCAGGTGCTGATCCTTCCTTCACAGTTATCCATGCTGATGCTAGTTCACCATCCGACCAGCTCAACGTGGTTGTCGTCCTTGGAAATCTCCAATTTTCGACAGGTGTCACATTTGCTTGTGCATTCAAAATAACATTCTTGGGGATGTACTCTGCTTCCTCCACTGAGTTTTGCTGATTCTCGTCTTCAATGCTCAAAGCTTGTCGAATGCTTTTCATCATTTTTTGCATCGATGGTTTTTGCTGCTCCTTGTGCACCCCGGAATGCTCCACCGGTTTATAGAGAACTCGTTTTGAGTGTTCGTAGTGAGTCGTCCATACTTGATCAAAGTTGCATATAAGTCTTTTGTGGATGCCATGGGTCTCCCCACAGCGTTCCACAAATGCTTTTACAGCTTGAACTTGCGGGTGTTCACTGTCCAAATGACGAGCTGGAGCAGCGTTGGTGTGGCTCTTCAACCCAACACGACTGCAAAGACGACTACATTGCATCCTTAGTTGACAGCAATACATACATACATACATACATACATACATACATACATACATACATACATACATACATACATACATACATATACATACATGGTGTTGCGCACATGTGTTGCACCTAGCACTATTATTCTATCTGTTGATTGGGTGATGGTTTTTCCATTAAATCTAACATAGCTGATCATTCATATTTAAGGGTATATATATATAGATTTACAACCAATATGTTTATGGAAAAAAGAAAACATGCATATAGTAACTTATAATATGTTAAACAAAGCTTGCTTGCCAGCAATGCTGGCACACAAGTGTGTAGTAACTTGTAATGTGTTATATATGAAAAAGCTTGCTTGCCAGCAATGCTGGCACACACCGTAAGTGGTTCATACCATTAGTCATTAGCCAAAATCATTCTTCATATATAAATAGCACCAAGAAACTTCAAAGCACCTGGAGTCTGAGCGATCACAATTGTCTTCATTTCATCCAGTGTATCTTTCATTGCTTCCAGGGTGTCCGATGACATGCGATCTCGTGCTCCATCACTTTGTTCTCCACTTTTTTTGTCTAGACTGCTTAGAGCTTTGCCTCCCATAGCTGCCGTGAAATCTTTTCGAAGCTGCTTGATGTTGGTGTTCCAAATTTCAATCATACTTTCCAAAGTATTTCTAGCGAAAATGCTGTCATTTTCTTCTCCTAGCATTTGTCTTCCAAGCATCAGTTGCTCAAAAGCGTGTGCTAGAGGAGTCGGGATAAAATGAGTAGTGCCGTCAGCCGCAAACTTCCCATGGTTGTACTTCCCTGCCTGAGGCGTGCTTGAAACACACAACTGCAAGTGGGCATTGTTAAAGGAAGAAATATATATGTATATGTATATGTATATGTATGTGTATATATATCAAGTTCTTAAACCAGAGATTGTGTGCAATATTCTATCTGTTGAAACTGCAACCATCTATGAAAACATATTGCAACAAAAACATTAGTTTTCTCAAATGTTTGACAAGGTGCTGCCACACCCAAAACTTCCAGCAACACATTGGGAACTTCATATACTTTTTTGGAAAGCTCAGGACAGTGCGCAATAAAATCATCCCATTTGTATTTTTCCCTTGCCCCCAGCCACTTTGAGCGTGATAAGCAACCTTGGTATCCTCCTTTCATCTTTCCGTTTTTGAGCATGAATGATTCGATGTTTTTGATCGTCTTCAATGCTTTCAGTCGTTCATACTCTTTGATGATTTGCATCTTCCTCCAAATGGACAATGATGAACATTTTCCATCTCTGTCAACGTGTCCACTACCATCTGGCATTTCATCACCATGTGATTCACCATTTGCATCTTTATCCTTTAACTTTTGAGAACGATTTGAACCACTGTAATTCTTTGCAGGGCCGTTTGGACGTCCCCTGCGTTTTTGTGGTTGGCTTGCTTGAACGAGTTGGCACACTACATCAGCATGTGGATCTGGTTGCTTGAACCTGCAGCGTCTAAGAACTGGTGCCGGTGCCATGGTGTCATGCTTTGTGTCAGCTGGTCGCTTTTTGCTGTTGCCACTGCTGTCACTGTTTGGTTTCTGCTTCTTGGGATGTCGGTCCAACTGTAGCTCGTCCTTAGATGATACATCATGGAAATTCCTTTTCACTCCCTTGTTCTCCTCATCACCTTTCCCATTCTTGGATAGAGTGGTCCACCCAGCTGCATTCACCAGTGATGCAATCAGGTTGACTTGCGCTGTAGTACTTGCAAAGGAGTTGCCTGATCAATGAAAGGAATCAAACAAACAATTGGCATATACTGTACATGCATGTATATATCCGGGTAGTGTCTGTATATATATATTCACATATATGTAACTACAATATATATATATATATATAAATGTTTGAAAAACATCTCATCAGACCCTGTCCTGCAAGATCCTGTGCTTGGGCCTGGTTCTTCATGATGTCATCGAATGCTGCGGGGTTGTCGAATGCTGTTTGAAATAGTCCCTGACAATTCCAAAGTTCCTTTGCACATAGGCTTCTCCCCAAGCGATGAGAATAAATGTTGTGACTGGGCCTCACACATGTTGCTACATCCTCAGCGTATTCAGCATCTCGGGATCTGCCTGTAGACATATCCATGAAGATATTGGGGTCCCCAGTGGAAGTTGCATTTTTCACTCTAGCCCTGGCAAGTGATTGCTCCAACTTTTTTCTCTGAAGATGATTTGATATTCTCTGTTTAGGCATATTCGTGTCGAAGACTTTCTCAAACTCCAAGAGTTCTGTGGTAGACATGCTTTCAATGGTTTTGTTCATGCGGTTCTGAAAGTCTTGTTGGCTGCAGCTACTCATCAGATCAGCAACACCCCATATCCGTTGTCGCCGTTGACGTAGTAGAAAGGACTGCGCATCCAATTTTTTCCATGCAAAAATGTACCCCAGATCTTCTAGATCTTCAGAAACTACCTGGCTCATGGTTTTAGATAATATTCTATCTGTTGGAATCCTGCTGAATTTGCTATTTAAAAGCAATACAAAAAAACAAACAAAAAAACATATCATTTGAAACAAATGTGTTCACACAAAAAAACACTTTATATATATATGAGTATTCACATGTTTCTCAAACTGTGCCTCTATCCGTGGACGATGCTTAACACCATGGAGATCCTTGACACAATCTGCCACCCCCTTTGTGTTCTCGTAAAACGCAACTGCTGGACACGTCACCTCGATACCTCTCTTGACACCCAAGCGATATGTTGAACCAGAAGACCCATCATGGTCAGTGTAGCAATTGGCCCACTTGGCTGAGTTTGTGTTCTCATAGCTGATGTTTTTGCACGAGGGTCCAACGAAGTAAGCATCAATGTCCAGAGCAACATTGTGTTTCTTGTTGCAGGTGTAGCAAAAGCCAACCAATTTTTCTAGAACTTCAACATCGTCAAACAAGCAAAACTCTGGCTGTTCTCCAGGAACTGTGTGTGCAGATTTGATGAATTCCCTTTTGAACTCCTCAATCTCGATAGATAGTACGTGACGCACCTTGACATTTACCTGGGATTGGCATGGATTGGCAGCAATATTCTATCTGTTGAATTTGGTGCATATTTCAAATATAATATATATATATATATCATGTATGTTGCAAGCAAAGCTTGCTTGCCAGCTTTGCTGGCATATACATACAAAACCTATATATATATAGTATACGTAGCAAAAAGCACATGTTTGAGATAAGGAACTCCAAAGTACTCTGATAGAGCTGCAAATGTTGCCTTGGTGACACTGACTGCGATGTCGGTTCCAGAGCAGGCTGTGCCAACCTTGATCTCACAACCATCCAGTATCTTCATAGTTTTTTCTAGCCGTGCAAGATCTTCTTCTGATAGTAGGTGCAAAAAGTACAAAGCAGTTTCTTTCAGATCCAAGCCAGGTAAATTTTGTGCATCATTCCATGATTTCAGTCGTTTGAGATCGATGTCAAAGGAGCGAGCATTCATTCGCCCTTGTATCTTGTAGGGATTGTCGAAATGATGTACACACTCAACATCCCATACAAACAACGGTTTCTCATCATTCAGCAACCTGTTTTTCCATGCTTGCCTCAGTTCTCGGGATGCATTTTTGAACCACTCTAGCCCTCTTAGCTCTGCAAAGTTTGAGATGCGTTTTTGACCATACACTTCAGCCTTCCCCACCACAGCTGCTGAGTTGCCATTGGCGATGTACACCTCCCCCAAGAGCTTTTTGTTGGACCACTGCATGATAACTTGCTGTTTTGTTTTCTTTGCAAAAATTCTTTCAACATCAACCCCTGCCATCCTGAGAACAGAAACCATGTGTGCACCATCATCACGTTCTTGTGCTGGTTGTGGTGGTTGTGCTGGTCCTGCTGCTGCTGCTTCTGCAAGATGATCTTTGCCTTTGGTACTACCATTAGCACCCATGCAGTCAGAGCGCACTAGGCCTGAGGTTGACTCACTCACACTGTTGCTATCGATGTTATCGTTTGATGTTGATTTTTGCGCTGAAGATTGTAAGCGGTCATCTTCATCTGACTCTGATGATCCTGATTCCCAATCCCACTCAAAATGAGGATGCTGCGACTTGAAATTTTTTATCCTTTCAACAATGCCTTTCACTTTTGTGTACTCATTCCCGTTTTCATCTTCATCATCATCCCCAGACTCTTGAGATGAAAATCCTCCTTGATGTTCTGGTTGATCACCTCGTTGAAGATCACCGGCTGGATGCTGCTGAGCTTTCTCTGCAACTGTTTGACCTCCTTGATGTTCTGGTTGATCACCTCGTTGAAGATCACCGGCTGGATGCTGCTGCTGATGTTCTTTGATCTCTGAAGATCACCGGCTGGTGGCTGCTGAGCTTTCTCTGCAACTGTTTGACCTCCTTGATGTTCTGGTTGATCACCTCGTTGAAGATCACCCCCTGGATGTTGCTCAACTGCTTCTGCAACTGGCTGACCTCCTTGATGTGCTGGTTGATCACCTCGTTGAAGATCACCGGCTGGATGCTGCTGAGCTTGCTCTGCAACTGTTTGACCTCCTTGATGTGCTGGTTGATCACCTTGTTGAAGATCACCGGTTGGATGCTGAGCTTGCTCTGCAACTGTTTGACCTCCTTGATGTTCTGGTTGATCACCTCGTTGAAGATCACCGGCTGGATGCTGCTGAGCTTGCTCTGCAACTGTTTGACCTCCTTGAAGTTCTGGTTGATCACCTCGTTGAAGATCACCGGCTGGTGGCTGCTGAGCTTTCTCTGCAACTGTTTGACCTCCTTGATGTGCTGGTTGAGCACCTTGTTGAAGATCACCCCCTGGATGTTGCTCAACTGCTTCTGCAACTGTTTGACCTCCTTGATGTTCTGGTTGATCTCCTCGTTGAAGATCACCGGTGTGATGCTGCTCAACTGCTTCTGCAGCTGGCTGACCTCCTTGATGTGCTGGTTGATCACCTCGTTGAAGATCACCGGTTGGATGCTGCTGAGCTTTCTCTGCAACTGTTTGAACTCCTTGATGTTCTGGTTGATCACCTCGTTGAAGATCACCCCCTGGATGTTGCTCAACTGCTTCTGCAACTGGCTGACCTCCTTGATGTGCTGGTTGATCACCTCGTTGAAGATCACCGGCTGGAGGCTGCTGAGCTTGCTCTGCAACTGTTTGACCTCCTTGATGTGCTGGTTGATCACTTTGTTGAAGATCACCGGTTGGATGCTGAGCTTGCTCTGCAACTGTTTGACCTCCTTGATGTGCTGGTTGATCACCTTGTTGAAGATCACCGGTTGGATGCTGAGCTTGCTCTGCAACTGTTTGACCTCCTTGATGTGCTGGTTGATCACCTTGTTGAAGATCACCGGTTGGATGCTGAGCTTGCTCTGCAACTGTTTGACCTCCTTGATGTGCTGGTTGATCACCTTGTTGAAGATCACCGGTTGGATGCTGAGCTTGCTCTGCAACTGGTTGACCTCCTTGATGTTCTGGCTGATCACCTCGTTGAAGATCACTGGTTGGATGCTGAGCTTGCTCTGCAACTGGTTGACCTCCTTGATGTTCTGGCTGATCACCTCGTTGAAGATCACTGGTTGGATGTTGCTGGGATTCATTTTCACTTGGTGTATCACTGGGTGGTGGAAGTGGTGGTAATGGCTTGCTTGAACCCGACCATGTTGCGAAGAATGCGTTGATATTCTCTCGTGTGGTATGCCTCTCTTGAGGCATTTTGTCGACGATCACAATCTTTTTGATTTTTTTTCCTTTGTTTTTCTCTGTCAAGCTGCTTGAGGAACCAGCAGGTTTCACTGCTTCTGCTTGTGCTACTTCTTTCTCAGCCGGCACAAGGAAGTTAAAGTGACCATAGGGAATGCCAGTCTCTGGATTTGCTTGGTAGAGGAAGATCAAGTGGACCTTGTACTCACTGGTGTTTTTGCTACTGCCATAGATGGAGTCCTTCTCAGGAGGTGTTGGCATTGAAGCAGCATACGTTTCATATGCCTCCCATGGTTATCAAGTGGAAACATGTGCATGTATGTATATATAGACTTTTAAGGTATACGAGTGAATGCAATATTCTATCTGTTGATAATTGCCATAGCCCACATACAAACTGTTCAAATTCAAACATCAGTTTGTTTCACTACATATATATATATATATTTGTACAACCATACTTAAATATATAAATATATGTGTATATATATATATATGTCCTGCTCGCCAGCAATGCTGGCATGCAGCTGACTAGTAAATTTATATATATATATATATATATGTTGCTTGCTTCCCAGCAATGCTGGCATGCAGCTGAACACACACACATATATATATATATGTATACATGCTCGCCACCCAAGAAAAACAGCACCACCTGCACCATTTTCTCATCACGCACTTCTCATCGCGGTTGCTAGCATGTGCCACTGCGCTGGTCCCAGTCTTTGCCGAAAAAAAACTGATGTAACAAACTAATGCACAATTTGATATATATATATATATATGTGTACATGATTGGTTACTTGTAAGTATTGGCACACTGGTACACATATACATGTTTTGTGGCAAATCGGTAGCCCAATCTTCATCTCAAAACTTAGTAGCATGTCAGCCTCAGCATGGTGGATTTAACCTGCTGTGCAATCGCTGCATGGGGTCAACATTTTTGTTGGTCGACCAATAATATGTCCACAGCGTGCATTATGCCAGCGTTTACCACATTTCGTCACATATACTGTTCCAACACCATGGTTGCTACCATAGGGTTCAGTAGTTTGCGTCGATGCATGATTTTTTCCACCATATATTCACTTCCACGTTCATTGTGCACATGGTTGGCCACCATATATCCACTTCCACGTTGATTGTGCACATGGTTAGCATCTCCATGTTGGATCACAAATCGATGATAGCATGTCATCAACAGCTTCCACACGATGTTCACCGAGATACTTGCAGCAAGAACCATTGCTGATATGAACCATGCAAACATTGAATAATCATCAGGTCCCTCTCCATGAGTAGCAAGAGAGCTGTTTGCCATTGCACCAAGAGCACTATTCTTTAAATACCAAGTTGCAAAAGGTTTTGCACCTCTATCAACACTCTTTGTGTTTGGATATTTGAGCCCATATGGTCATCGGAATGTAGGGTTTCACCTGGGTGCCATATCGTACACAGAAATATTATATCTGTTGGTTTTGCTTATTTCCCAAATGTTGCCAATAGATGAAAGCAAGTTTGAACACTATATATATATATATGTCCATCAGAACCATAACAAATCCAAATCATAAAGCGTTATGTTTTCTTTGTGTATATATATATATATGCTTGTTGAACGTATAGAAAACACCTAAAGTTTTACGGTATATGACTGTATGGTTTAATATTATATGTATATATGTTGGTATCGCCTACCTTGGGGAATATTCTATCTGTTGAATTTTGGACTCCTGTAAACAAAGTTTTTATAATATATATATATGTATTTATTTAAAGGAAAAGCCGCTGCCCACCCACCGGATCCACATAGATTCATAGATGTGCCTCATCAGAAATAGTGCACCGGATGTTCATCATCAGTGCATTCGCAACCCAGTCCAGGTCAGCAATGTCAACGGAACCGTGTTTGCGTATCTCCTCAACCTTGTCAATGTCAACCCCTTGTTCACATGCTTTTTCCATAGTCATGTTCATCAAAGCACGTGCTTTGTCTTCTTCATTTTTGACAATCCTTGCGTTTGCTGCGTAACCACTTTCCTTCCGTGGAACAGTACTCCACGCTTCAAAGTCCAGTGATCCTAAAACACTGTGCCACAAGCAATAGCCATCAGCAGGTGCACATTGCTGTTCTAGGCTGGTTTTTTCAGAGCATTTCATTTTCTTCATCTTGTGTCCAAGCTTTTCTTTTACAGAACTTTGGAGATATGCTGACACGGTCTCATCCATTGTGCATGCAATAGTTTTTGACAAGGCTTGGAAGTCCACTACCCGATATTTTTCATCTTTTTTCCTTCCTGATTGTTCTTTTGGTCCACTGCGCCTAGTGTATTCGATCTCATCTTCTTCTGATATCGATACATCCCATACCATAGGATCAAGTCCACCACACATAGTGACGAGAACCAGTGTCTTGAAAGGTGATTTCAAAGCTTGCATTCTTTTTCCAAACTGGTCGATAGGAGAATGATAGTCGGTGACCCAAACCACAAGCCCCATTGGTTGGATATCGAAGTTGGCCCATCTCTGTTTCAGCGAATCTGATAAGATGCATGAGTCAAAGTCAGTGCATACAACAACATCCAGTACAGACTTCCCATCACCGGCCATGATGCCACAAAGCTTACCACCATGATCGTTACGGCCCCATGAGATGAGATTCGCAATGATACCCTTGTAGATGCAAATGCTGCTTGGAACAAATTTTGGTTCAGGTTGCTTTGCAAATAGTTGGTGGGTCACGTCTACGAGTTTCATCTCTGAGTCATCTGGTAGTACCTGTTTCTCCATAGCTTCCATGAAAGTGGCCTCACTCTCCTTTGAAATGCTGTCGATAGCTTTCTCTGTGTTGACAAATGACTTGCCTGCTTTCTCTGCAGTCTGCATGGATTTTGCTAGAACACCGGCCTGCAAGGCAGGTAGTGTATACTGTATGTGTCTAAACGGTTGGTAAAATAGACTAATCTCAATTCCACGTCTATACGTCAAACATCTTCCTGTGATAAAAAGTGTTGGCAACACTTTACTGTTGATATATACATATATGTAGCTTGTAATATTCTATCTGTTGAATTCCCCTCACAAAACAACATTCTTGAATGAAACTATTAACCATCATTGTGTTTTGTAACCCAACCAGCTGGCCTCTGAACTCTTGCCCATGTTCAGCAACCAGTTTCTAGCATCATTGAGTTTCTCAAACACTTTGATCACATTCTCATTGTCACCACTTAGCACAGCCTTGAACTTCGCTAAATCATCATCATAGGTCAAAGAGAGTGCTTCCTTTTTTGCTAGATCAGGCATAGCTCGAACTGCAACCTGCATCATAGAAGCTTCAAACCATGGAACGTGTCGACCAACTAGTTGTGCTAATAGGAATCCTTTCTGAGCGCTCAGTGATTTATGCATTTGAATTGCATCATCACCAAAATTGTCTTTGATCCACTGCTTTCTCTCTACGGGTTTTCGACCCAGCATGTCGAAGCCAAGCATCAGTTTCTTTCCCTGTGTCAGAAAGTGTTTGGCTGCTTCTACGGTTTGAGTCTTGCCCCCATAATCAGAGTACTCCAACTTTCTCTTGGTTGACTCCAATGATACAGTGCAATGCTTTGAGAACTCCTGCAAACCATGAAGGCTTGCCATGGCTACCCAGGGTGCACGTGCAAGTGCGTTGCGATATTATTCAATGCATGTGTTTTCTTCTTGTGGTTTGGTTTTCACCAACAGAAACAGCACCAATCGAATCTAGTATTCCTATATATATGTAACTTTGGTTTGGTGTTCAATGCAGAAACGAATTTGTAAAGTTGCTGGAACTGCGCTCATCGTGCATGCTGTGATCCACAATGACATGCATAAAACACAACATTATCCCATAGGTTCAAAACACACACATATATATATACATTAAACCAACAGATAGAATATTCCAACAGACCAATGATACCAGTGATATTCACGTTTTGATGAAACAATTCTTATGTGGTTTCATAGATAAAATATGGAGTTCAACGAGATCACCCAAATTCACTAATTCAAACGTTAAAAAATCATTCTTTGTTGGGTACAATAATCAGTAATCCATGGAGGATGCAGAAAACCTATATATATACATGAAACCAACAGATAGAATATTCCAGTGATATTCACTTTTTGATGAAACAATTCTTATGTGGTTTCATAGATAAAATGTGAAGTTCAACGAGATCACCCAAATTCACTAATTGAAACGTTAAAAGTTCATTCTTTGTTGGATACAGTAATCAGTAATTCATGGAGGGTGCAGAAAACCTATATATATACATGAAACCAACAGATAGAATATTCCAACAGACCAATGATACCAGTGATGATTCCTTCTTTGATGAATATATTGATATGAAATTGTTGATTTTGTTGATATTCATTCTTCATCGAATAAAATATACCATTGAAAATGCAGAAAACCATATATATATACACGGATCCAACAGATAGAATAGTTCAGAGATATATTTTCATAATTTATAAGCTCAAAATATCAACGATTTCGTATATATATATATATATATATACGCGAAATCAACTTTTTGCTACTCAGCTTAAACAGATAGAATATTCCCACCGGGGAACCAGGTTTCACCCGCAAATTTTTCGATCTCTGAACACTGGATAATATTCTATCTGCTAGTGCCTTAGTATATATGGATATACTGTCTACCGGTAGATCCCTATAGCGAGCGCAGAACAAAATCAAAGTAAGGGAGGCCAGTGAGTCTTATTTTTCGTTAGTCGAGGTTTAATGTTTGCACTTAGCTACATAATTCAGTGACTCGTTCATTGAGTGATTGGGTGATTTTTTTTGGAGTGCATGACTAGTGTTTGCCTCTGATTAGTCGGATGGTACCCTATTGTGAGAAATTTCTTGCTCCTAATTCAGTATCAGGCTGTTTGTGGGGGGGAGCCTCTATTGTGAGATTTTCCAAATGTTTTTCATTTTTTTTCCAAATGCTTTAGTGCTCATTTTATTTATTTATTTATTTATTTATTTTTATTTTATCTATTTTATTTGTTGTTTTTTATTTTTATTTTATTTCTTATTTTTATTGTTTATTTTCTATTTTTTTTGTTTATTTACTATTGCTTCATTGCTTCCTTTTTTATATTTCTTTTTAATTGTTTCCTTTTTCATTAGTTAATTACCCTATGAGTGGCCCAGATACTGAATAATATAATTGTCTGGATGGTACTCTATTGTGAGCACCAACTTTTGGGAGTGAAAAAAAAACAAAGCCCTT